TCCCACAGGACTGAATATAAAGCTGCCCTGGACCTTCAGTTCCAGCCACAAAACTGTAACCCTCACATAACTCACTGCTTCACAATATATGAGCAAAAGACTGGGGGAAAATATGTGAAATAGGTCTCTCCTAGCACAGGTGTCTGAGGCAGTAGGATAGCTGTGAGTTGGAGGCCACCTTGGCCACAAAGTGAGTTAAAGGCCAGCTCAAAATGCATAGAGAAACGTTGTCTCATAAAAAAAAAGATAAAAATTAAACTGGTGAGGCTTCCACATCATAGAAGATTTGGTCATAAGTTTTGCCCAGGTTCCGCCTAATAAGTGAAAATAAATCAAAAAATAAATGTAACATAAGGAATTTGGGGAATTTTCATTTCCCCTTGGACTTGTTTTAACAAAATATTTGTCTGTGCTTTTTTAAAAGAGAAAAAAGATAGAGACTAGATTAGCTATGTAGAAATAAGATTTTTATGACTTGATTTTGTGAGATTGTTAATTTTTTTCTCTGGATTAAAAGACACTGCACAAAGATACTGGACTCTGACCACACTTAAAACAAAACCTTGTGAAGAGGGATGGATATCTCAGGAAATTTAGGGCAGTAGCATTCTATCTAAGAAAATTTTCCCCAGAAAGCCCTACAGAGAGCTCAGACACCATCATGTGTCCCTGCAAGGCAGGTACCTATAAGCATGTAGTTCACATTCTGCAGGAAGCACTAGCTGTAGCCAAAGCTGGAAGAGAACTACAGTACTAGAAAAGAAGAGGTATTTGACTCCCATCCTGCATCCAAGAGAAGTGGCTCATGCAATCTCCAGGCTCCTTGACATTAGCACTTAAGAGTCAGAGAAATCAGAGAACACATGAATGCTAAATTAGATATTGTAAATTCTGAGCTGCAGAAAACTCATTTGAATTTATTTATATTTAAGGTGACCATAAATGCACACCTTGTTTCAAAGATTTTACCACATAATAGACGTTCATAAAGAAAGGGTTAAGCAGTGAAT